TTCATTTCACATCAGAGGAACACCAATGCCTTTTACTTTTAGTTAGTACTCTTCAAAAGTGAAATTATTAAAATCGGAAGTTTTTTGTGATTTGTAATAGAATATCATAAAACTCTATGCCTATCACAATTCTAGTTGAAGTACATTCTGCTACATAATATATGTTATAAATATGTAGCTTTTTAGAAGCATTTGGTTGGTTCTTAAATTGATTTTCCAAGGATGGCAGAATCAGTTAGAAATTGATCATTCACATCCAGAGAGTAGGATTTTAAAATTCAAGCCTAGTTGAAAACCATAAATTTAGCAGATAGTGAGAATCAAGGAAAACTTAAAGAAAAATAATGATTGTAAATAATTAGCATTGGCAAATTATAACAGAAACAGAACTGAAATAACTATAAATAGGAAGTTACAGAAAAGAAAACAGGAAGGGATCCTAAAGATACGGTTTTAGCAGAGTTTTACTTCCTTTCACTGATTTAGTTAGTCATTCTCCCTTCTGATTCTATATGACTGTGTTTAGACAATATGCAGCCGGCAAGCAATAGCATTTAAAAGACCTAAAAAGCAAGCACGACGAATAATATTTTGATGTGAAATATGACTCACAGTTTCCTGGATGTTACAAAACTGCCTATGCTGAACAGATGCTTGTACTTATAGCTTATATGGTAACAGAGCTTCTATAGCAAAAGAGGCAGCCAATAGTATCTCCCAAGACTAAAGGATAATGTTAACTACTTTCAGGATTTTTAAATATTTCTGTTTTTTCCTACATTTAACACAGACTTTTTCAGTTATTATTGAACCACTAATAATTAATGCTATTTAAATACATTTTAAAAGAAAAAGCAAATTTAGAAATGAGCCAACTTTCCACTTTATTTTATTTCATTTATTCCCATCACTTTTTCTCCTCTTCAAAATTATGCAATTTTATCTGTAAAGAACAATCACCGTAATCTTTTGTGGGAATAGAGAATAATTTCAATTTCCATGCATTTAGAAAAAGACAGACTTAACTAGACCACAGAAAGAGATATTGCATCTATAAATAAATTATTCAGAGCTGGGAGCTGAGATGGGGTTACCCATTACCATTGTTAGATGAGCATGCAAAGCCTGACCCTGGAGTGCAGCTGTTGTCTTTGTGATCAGGATTCTTCATTTCCCATTGTTTATGTGATTACAACATACAAGTCTGGGGTGAGAGGGGGGGACAGTGTGGTGTGAAAGGATGTCTGTGTGTTGATAACGTTTGGCACTATCACTGATTGCAATGATAGGCGTCTCAGCTGCAGTGCTATCGGTGTGCAGAAACAGGCCTTTTGAGTATCCCTCCCTCCCTGAATCAGCAATTTCAGAGGATCTGAATATGTTCACCTTCTGAATGTGCCAGCTGGACCTTACCCAGACGCACATTGGATTGTGTCAACAGATGGCGAAAAAAGGGACAAAAAGGACAGTATTTCAAAACTGAATCTGTAATATTAAACAGGTGTGGAGGTAAAATGTTAATGAGTAAAGAACTCCATTCAGATATAAATACAGAGGAATACAGTCACTTTAAGTCACTCCAGGATGTTGTGAGAGGTATCTCTTGTATTTGAACATTTTTTATTAAAAGAGGAAACAATTGTGAAGCTCTTTCTGACATCTCTGTTTTCCCTAGTAACACGTAAAACAAAAGTTCATTAATGAGAAAATACTAGTGAGTGCTCAGGCAGTCCCTGTTGTCCTTTCATTCTTCTGCTCATGCTGGCAACAACAATACTTAACATTAATGTCCAGTTTCCAACTGTGTATTTTCAAAGGACTACACCACATGCTATGCCTCTTGTCACTCCTAAAATGGGAGAAATGAGATATACCAGTTCTGGCTCATCCAGTGTGATACAATATCAATAGCAGAGCACTGGTCTAAACACAAGAGTTTCAGGTACCCAAAATCTATAGCATCACCTTTGGATCACACTGCTTCTCTTGAGAATGTTCTTTCTTCAAGCTAAGCTACACAATCGTGTTGCAAAGAAATGACATAAAAGGGGAATAAGGAATGATTATAATGAAAGAAAAGACACTGCAACAGATTCTGTAAACTCATGTAATAAATAATTGTTTTTTCTAATTTTGTTTCTTGCAATACTACAAAGTATAGGCAGCTTCTGATCTGAGAAGGTAATTTAGGATTTAACATGAAAAATATTCTTGCTATGGAGGGCAGGTTTGGGAGTATACCTCACTATAGAAATGTAATTTATGTTTGTTTCCTTTTACGGGTTTGTCAGCCTCCAGGGTGGCCTGTCACTCATCGTTTGCCAATGAGTTTGGCCATGTGACCTTTTGGACTGAAGAAAACACTAAGAATCATGAGCCCAGTCACAGAGGTTTCTTCATTGCCCTTTCACTCCATCCCTTCAAAAGAAAAAAACGAGGCGTGCTCACTCTTACAAATGTAGGCAGTATCAGCATTTGCATTTGGGTTTGGTGTAGAGTCAGTCATTCAGTCTGGTGTAAATGTCAGTGCTGAACTGAGTGGCTGCCAGCTGTCTTGGGCCCCATAATTGTCCAGCCTCAGTTCTTGAACTGGAAAAATACTTAAGTGCTCGTGTGCTTTTCCTCACATACAGAGTCTGCCATCACCCTGAAGAGTCATTCCTTCCTCAGGCTCAAAATGATCTAGCCTTCCATTCGGCTTCATGCTGCTTAGCAATACCAAACTCCTCTTTTTCTGTAAAGAACATGTATTAATCATAAAGCTGTCTTGATTTTTATATCTCTGGTTTGTTTATTAGTTTATTTGTAACTCATATTGGCCCTATAGTTCTAAGCACCGTATGAACACACAGTAAGAGAGATCTGACTGAAGGAGTTTCCAATCCAGCGTGGAGACAAGGCATGGCAAGCAACACTGGCAAACTAAAAAAGAGAGAAGAAAGGATCAGGCTAATGACGGAAATGAGATCATTTGGTTACAGAGCTGGCTATTGACCAATTTAAGGGTTCCTAATGGTTCTTCTACAATCTACATTATGCCATTTTCTCCTTTATATTTTGTTCTCAAAGCCATTTTATCTTCTGTTCAATGGTTTATCGTTATTATTTCCTTCCATGACTTCCTCCCTCACACCATGACCTCTTCCACTGGTCCTGCTTTACATCCTCACTGTCTTTGGTCCATGCTACTTTTCTCTCTGGAGGTTTGCCTCATTCACTGATGATCTTGCATGGTGCTATACAATTTGCACAGCCTTTATGGCGGGGTGGGGAAACTAAGGCCCAGGGGTCAGAAGCAGCCCCTGACTTACCTGCATCCAGCCCCTGAGGCTTAGGGCTCCCCCCGACATTGGGGAGCCCTGCTGGTGAATGGTGGGGTTTTTTTTTTGTTTATCACTTGTGTGCAGCCCCTGACTGATTTTTCTGTGGGTCAGTGACCTCTGACCCCAAAATGGTTTCCCACCCCTGCTCTATGGTTTGCAGACAAGGGACTCCTTCCTGCAGTCTTCATAAGTATGTGGGTTAAAATTATAATGGTGGCAGACCCCGGTCACCTGCAGGTGGAATTGAACCTGGGACCTCTGGAGGTTAATGCAGCAGCTAAAAGCCAGTTGGCTATTAGCTAAGCCTGTTGAGTAAGCTCATTAGTTTCTCTGTAAGTGGTCTATGTGGCACTAGGTGGGCTAGAACAACACACCTATAAGGTGTGTGAGCTACAAAATCATGGATTTTTTTTATTTTCTCATTTTTTTAAAGAAACCTCCCAAAAACCAACACCCCCTATGGAAATCCTTTAAAAATGAGGCACTAAGAGAAAGTTCAGGCTGCAGAGTTAAACACATACCATTCTGGAAATGACCTTATGAAAATAATGGCAGCCCTAATTATTCCCCTTTGTTCATATTCATTGCAAACTTCATGTTTGCATACTCTTTCTCAAATAATGCAAGATCAGACTTTTCTTCTCCTACAACCTTGGGAGTCACCTATATACTGAAATTGCACCAGTTTATATAAAGTCTTAAAATGGCATAATTAAACTGCCGCAAACCCATGCATATGTAACACCAACAGGCAGAACCATACCTGGGACCTCTGGAACTTAGTGCATGTGTCTCTACTGTATAAGCTGAAAGCCAGCTGGCTGGAGAGCAGACTCATTATTCTCTCTCAAAGTGGTCTCAGTCCCATTATGTGGGCTAGTACACCACACCCAGAAGGTGTGTGTTACACATGGACGTGTTTATGTCAGTTTAAAACTGGTTGTATTTGTTTAGATCAGTGGTTCCCAACTTCTGGTCTACGGACCCCTGGTGGTCCGTGACAGTATTGTAGAGGGTCCATAGAAAGTTTAGAAGTAAGGATCAGGCCCACCATGGGGCTGGGACTTTCCACCTGGTGATTCTCGCCTGGGGCTTGCCTTTCGTGACCATCCGTCCTCCTGCCAACAGCTGCACTGCTGTTTACACTCCAGCCTTCTCCCCCCTATCAGTCCTGTGCTGGGCCTGATGCTTACTTTTCTTTTCCCTTTTTTCCCCCCCAGGACTCCGTGCCCAGCCAAGGGCGGAGTACCAGGGTAGGAGTTGCCTTTATCCATGAAAGCCCACGGCTAAATTCTCTGTGGATGGGCAGAGGAAGGAGGGGCAACAGCTGAGGAAGCAGTGTGGGCCAAGGGATGTGCTGGCAGCTGCTTTCTGCCACTCCCCTTGATCCAGAACAGTGAAAGGCAGGGCCTGGGAGCTGACAGGTTCCGAGCCTGCAGACACTCCATGTGGATAAAAAGTCCCAGCACACCAGCGGTTTGCCCTGCTAGGCTGTGAAGTGACCCTGGGAAGTACTGCAGATTCTGCTGTACTCTGCTGGGACATTTGTTTGCTTGCAGAGTCTGAGTTATTTGCTTGCAGGCACAGAGACTCTCAGCTCCCATTGGCTGTGAACAGCGAGCAGCAGGCCAATGGGAACTGAGAAGCTCTTTGGCCTGCAGTGTGCACAATCTTCAGCCCGTACTGAAGCTGGCAAGCTGCGACTGTACTCTGGAGTCGGCTTATAAATGGGTCAGTCACTTCTTAGCATTTTTTTCTCTTTTCTGAAACAATCATGTTACCCCGCTCTAATCATTCAAAAGCAATGAGAGTGGTGGGAAGGTTTTAGTTGGGCTGCAGGCAAAAATGGATGGGTGGATCCAATAAAATTTTATTTAATAAAAATATATGGCACCTCAAAGTTGTTACATTTCAATGTGGACACCCTGTATTATCTCTCATTACTAGTATATTGTTTAGATAACATGAACTATTATACATTCAAATGATTATCAAATAATGGAATCTTTGTAAACAGCTATATTGTTTGGAGTATCTACAAAGTTTTAATAGATTGAAAAGGGGGTCCGTGTGCTTGCAAAGGTTGGGAACCACTGGTTTAGATTACGCATATAAATTAACTACCATGTTAAATTAATAAAATCAGTTTCAGGGCACCATTTCAGATTTTGGTGTGGGGAGAGCTTTAGGTGAAGGCCAAAAATGAGAGGCTCTGTGTGGGATGGGGCTGCTAGAAAATGGGTTTGGGATGTGGGATTTGGGAGGTCTAAGGTCAGGATGCCATTTACTCTTGCGGAATATCCTTGGATTTAATGAAAAATTAAAGAATGCATATCCCCTCCTTCACCCAAGTTAATAATTCCAGTTTGTACACTAGGCACAGGGAAGGCATATGTATTTTAACATTTTAAAGGAACACTGTCAAGGCTTCAGTGTTTAAAATTAGAACTCCCAGCTGTGTTTTGGCTTTGGGGTATATGTATGCATATCCTGCCACCCCCTGCTGTGGCTGGCTCCTCTGTTTCTGTGAGGAGTTAGGATCATACACATTTAAACACCATGCCCACTCACAAGAATAAAAGCAATGGAGCAGAAAGGCAATGTGCGTATATGTCCTTGCCCATGATCAGAGATAAAATCAAGGCCCTTGTGTTTGTTGGAGGTCTGCCTAGCAGGCACATAAGGCAAGTCTATATTACAGTCATTCCTGTAGCACAACTATGGTGTTGCTGCTGTGTGACAGGGTCCAGCTCCACACCTCCAGAAATGGCTGGGCCTCAAGCAGAAGGGGTGGGGTTGAGAGCAGTCAGCCCTTAGCACCGCCCACAACACCCCCTCCCTCCCCCCACACAAGGCTTTAGAATCGCACAGAGCAGTGTACTGGCACTCCAGCAGCAATTCCTCACCCCCACCCCCATCTGTGGGCCTGAGTGCCATTCTACATGCTAGGACTTTAAGAGGGTTAATAAAAGAGCTAGATAGATTCACGGAGGTTAGGTCCATCAATGGCTTTTAGCTAGAATGGGTAGGAATGGTGTCCCGAGACTCTTGTTTCTCTGGAGGTGGGTGACAGGAGAGAGATCATGTGATGATTACCTGTTGTGATCCCTCCCTCTGGGACATCTGGTATTGGCCACTGTTGTCAGAAAGGGTATTAAGCTGGATGGACCATTGGTCTGACCCAATATAACCGTTCTTATGTGCTTAAGCTTTCTATATCAATGGAAGGCATTTTTCTGTGTCTGTAGTTAATCCATCTCTCGGGGTATATCTACACAGCAAAGTTATTTCGAAATAACAGCCTTTATTTTGAAATAACTTTGCTAGCCTCTACACAAGCCAACCACTATTTCGAAATTAATTCGAAATAGCAGAGGGCTTATTTTGAAATTGGTAAACCTCACTCTATGAAGAATAGTGCCTATTTTGAAATAGCTGTTTCGAAATAGGAGCTGTGTAGACAGGGAATAGGGGCTATTTTGAGTTAGGGGGCCTTCAGCCCTTCCCAGGGTGCCCTGCTGACCACTCTGGCCACAACCCGGAAAACTCCTCTTCTCCGCCCCCTCCTGGATTCCTTAAAGGGGTAGTCTGGCCACAGTCTCTGTGCCAGCCCCAACCCTCCACCGCTCCCCGGGACCAGTCCCTGGGCTCCCAGGAGCCTGCCAGGGGCCGGAAAAGGTGGGCACCTTCCTAGTCCAGTGTGGAGATCATGGACCTGATTGAGGTTTTGGGGAATGCCTCCAGTGTTCATGATCTCCGCACTAGACAGAGGAACGTGTCCATCTGTGGCAGGATGGCTGCCAGCCTGGCTACCAAAAGCCACATCCGAACCCAGGAGCAGGTTCGAATGAAAATTAAGGAGCTGCAGCAGGCCTATGCCAGGGTCACAGAGGGCAGCTCCCAAACAGGGGCAGACCCAGAGAGCTGCCCCTATTTTGATGCCCTGGACCGTATCCTGGGGGGCGGGACGGTCTGTGCCCCCCACGTCATCATCGACCCTGGGGCAGAGGGGCCTGACCAGGGGATGGAGGAGGAGGAGGAGGAGGAGAGCCAGGTGCTGCAGGAGCCTGGAGGGAGTGTGCAGCGCAGCCAGGACCCCTGAGCCATCCCAGCGGACTTGTCGGCCAGTATCATCCAGGGAGGCAACAACATGTGAGTGCCATCTCTGTCCCCTTATTGGGGGGGGGGAAGGGGAGACCAGGGACTGTGCACGTGGGCCTTCCTGACCATGGATCACACACCTGTGCATGTGCAAGCACGTGCAGTGCCACCCCTGGGCATGTGGCCCCAGCTGGCTGTCACACAGGGGCCTTGGCCTGTTAACCACATGCGTGTGTGAAAAGACATGACATGTTCCTGACCCTGGGGTGGGACACAGCAGGATGCCCTCCCTCCACAAGCCCCCTCTACGCAGAGGCAGGGGACGCTATTTTGAAATACATTTTGTGTCTAAATGCGTTATTTTGAAATAAGAGATTTCGAAATAACTATTTCAAAATAAGATATTTTGAAATAATACTGTAGTGTAGACATACCCTTTGAGAGGCAGTACCTAGGTCGACAGAAGAATTCTTCTATAGATCTAATCACGTCTATTCCTGGGATTAGGTCTATCTAACTATAGCACTTGAGGCAAATTTTTTCACATCATTGAGCAACATAGTCTGGTCAATCTAATTTAAGTGCAGACCAGGCCTTAGATCAGAGGTGGAAAAAATACAGGCCACAGGCCAAATCCAGCCAGTGAAACATTTCCCTCTCACCTGCCATGACCTTCCAGGCCTCTAAAAGTCCTATGCCATAGTGGGGTGCTCAGTTAGGCTGCCTGCCTGCAATGGCCCTTGCCACATCACCCCCAGTAGTGGCCGGGTGCCAATAGCAAGCATGTTTTATGCACCTCTTAAGGTATGGAGAGCAGTGGGTCTCCACATGCTGCCCTCATCCCCAGCACCCATTGGCAGGAAACTGGCCAATGGGAGCTGCAGGAGCAGTGCTTGCGGGATCAGGCACACAGAGACTCATTTGCTACAGCAGGTGGCTGGATTGAGTGGCATGTGGCCACCATGCTTGCAGGAAGCCATTTACCAAAATGGCTTGCCCACTTCTGCCTTAGATTTATTGCAATGGGGCCATATAATTACATAGACAATATAATGGAATTTACTTATGCCTCAGCCCTTGCTGAGAAACACAGAGGGATTTTAAAGGTACAGGCAATCTTTAAAATGTAATTTAATGTAATTTAAACTTGGAATCCATATCAACTATAAAAGGATCTCTTTTAAAATTTATACTTTTAATTTTCTCTATTAAAAATATGAAGTGTAAATTTTTCAAAAGTGTGCGGGTGACTTTAGTTTTGAAAATCAACAGGACTTCGACCGTATCTACCCTAGAAAGGATTTGCTGATATAACCATCAGCATGAAGATGCTGCTTACTCTGATAAAAGAGTATAATACCAGTTCCTTGAACAAATAAGCTTCACTGGCAGAAGGATTTTTTTTGCTGTTATAACATACATATTCGGGTGAGGGGAAAGGGGAAGGGAGCAAGGAAAACCACAGCTTCACATATGTTGACAGAGTGTGTAGCCAAAATGGATTATATTTGTGGATTCAAATGGACATCAGTGTTTAACCCCTTTTTATTATTAACACTTCACCCATTAATTTATGTTTAAAATTTCTATAACATTGCCTGTGGATATTTTTCCACACTGATTTTCTGCATTGTTTCCCCCCCACTCAGTAAAGTTCTATTTTTGAAGAATCAAATTTGCCAGAAACTGGGACTGGGAAACGGGATGGATCACTTGGTGATTTCCTGTTTTGTTCTGTTCAGTCCATCTGAAGCACCTGGCATTGGCCATTATAGTAATACAGGATTCTGGGCTAAGGGGACCTTTGATCTGACCCAGCATGGCCATTCTTAGGTTCAAATGATCTTTATTAAGTCATAGTACAGTGCACAGGTAACACCTCCCAAAATGGGGACTCTGTCTGGCAAAATCCTGCCAGACCACAAATGTTCCTGAACCAGAGAGCCTGGGGAGCCTTGTGGCAGGAGTGCCAGCAGTGGAAGGCAAAGGCAGCTTGAGCCAGTGGGAGGCCAGGTCGGAGCCCCAGATAGCCTACGGCAGTGGGGGGCCAGTGCTGGAGCCTGTAGCAGTCCACAGCAGTGCAAGATCAGGTCTGGAGCCCCAGCAGGCCATGGCAGTGTAGGGTCAGAGCCCCTGGCAGCCCAGCCTGTGCTGGAGCTCGTGGCCTGGCAGCCCTGTGGCCAGGGGCCACCAGCAGCGGGGCTGGAAGCCTGTTTGGGTGGGAGCCAGAGGCAGCTTGGTGAGAGCCAGGGACTGGCAGCAGGCTTGCCGCTTGGCTGGGGCCGGCAAAAGCAGGGTCTGGAGGCAGAGTAGGTCAACTGGGGTGATAGCAGAGCCAGGAGCACTGAGGTGTGGTGGGCGGTCTGGCAAATTCCCATTTTCAGGGTGTGTCATGTCCTGAGGGTGCTGGATCAGGGAGGTCCAACCTGTATTGCAGAATGCATAGTGATGGTCAAGGCAAACAATACTTATTAATGCAGAGCAAGCATCTCGTGATACCTAGTTTCAGGAAAGTAGCCAGTCATATTTTAAATGAACAGCAAACACTACCCAATTCTTAGTAGCACCCCAGGCTCCAGGCTCAAATAAAATGCCAGCAGAAGACACTATTGTGGCGGACCATTAAAATG